TCTCTAGAAACTTCTAATGCACGCTCAGCCTGGGACACCCTGTATATCAAGTACATATCATATCAGAAAAATAATTATCAAATTCAATAAGAAAACGCTAAAAAGGTGGAGTGGACTGTTTATTTCCCTATGAAACGTAACTCCTAGTTCTTGCTTATCACTGCGGTTTTTACACTTGAAAGCTGAACAACTAATCACCATTGTAATAAAGTTTATACAAAGTTCACTACACTAAAATTGTACAAGATATTCTTAATTGCCAATTTTCAAATTGCCACCCTGTAGACACCTATCCCAAGAAATAAAAATATCTACGTTAATAATTTCGATTCTGTGTTTAATAAGTACAGTGTTTAAGTGTATTAGTGTTTTATTTTGCTGTTGTAACACCAAAATTGACCAAACGTTCCAACCTCCAACTGTAATCTTCGATTCGATAATGTCGATAATAAAAATATTGATAGATTAGAACATTCTTAATTAAAATTGACCCAGTCGTTTGGCATGGCTGCCTTTGTCAGACGTAAATGAGTATTTTACGACATATCATTGTTACAATAATTTTAAACGCTATGGTTACAATGTATTTTTATATTATAAGTTAAATACTGCTAAACATAAAATAGGTACCTATTATTTCGTTAGGAATAATGACTACATTTGTTGCCAAATACAAACTTTTATATTTTCTGGTGCGTTATTCATAAAAAATAATAACTTTTATTTAAAATATGTTATAGGTAGACAGATTTTATATGAGTATTAGAAACAAGGGTATTAGTCTATAAACTATATCTCAACAATTTTTTTTATATTGATATAAGAACTTTTTGTAGTGGAGAACAGCTTTGCGAGACTTGGGACCTAGTTTCTTTTTATAGGTCATCCATTATTTCTCGTTTTAATATGTCCTTCAAAATAACATTAGTAAATAAATAAGTATGCCTTTCAATCAAATCAATAATAGCAATCGAAATATAAAATGAAAATTGTAAACTTATATTACGATCTGCGCAGATCGATACAGCAGCTGATTAAAAATTTAACGTAAAACCGTTGATTTGAAGAAATAAGAAGATGCGCAACCTTATGGGCAATTTCGTGGCACAAAAAATGTCCGAGATGTAGCTGGCGTTACCGTCAGAATGTCCGATATTTAGTTTAGCTCTGTGCCGCTGCGCGCTCATAGTCGTTTAATCGCAGCTGATAAAGAATACTGTACCGTAATTCTGCTTTCAGTCGACAGAGTGAGAGGTTGCCGGAGAGAGTGTTGATAGAACTACGGATTAATCCGTAGATTTACTGATTTTGGGTATAGTCTGTTAATAATACGGATTTTCTATCATTAAAATCTATGAGTATCCATATCCGATATTAGCGTACCAAACTTTATGGCATGATTAGTCGTCTCGGCGCACTCAGGAATTATGTGTTTTTGTGTTTCCCAATTTTCCCCACAGAATCTGTATTCGCAGTTGTTTCTTAGCTTCAATCTACTAAGGAGTTCACTGAGGAGACAGTGTCCTGTTAAACCCCGTGACGATCCGAAAAGTGTTCTTACTTAAATCAAGGAAAATCTTTGATTTTTCTCGGTCGTAAGTTCTGAGGAACTTTTTTGAGTGTCTTAGACCGTTGGAGGATTCCCATTCTAGGTATAGAATTTGGAAGACAAATTCTTGAGTTCTGTTTTAAGTTGATTTCCACTTGGGAAGCCGAACGGTTCTGGTTCAATTAGTAAAATGTTCGCTCCTTTTCTAGCTAGATCGTTTGCCTTTTCATTACCTTCTAACCCCAGAGTAGGACTTTATTTTCTTTGCTTAATTCTTCAGCTTCTCTAGGCATTGTTTGGCCAGCTTCGAATTAATGGTTACTGAGTTGATCGCTCTTAAGACTGCTTGAGTCGCATAAGATGGCTATCTTTTCCTATCTTTTTTTTGGTGAGGTGGGAAAAAATGTAATACCAGTGATGTTGTGTGATATTTGGTAGTGTCGGATTTCTTATGGACTAAAAAAACCTCCCCCACTCGTTTTGTCTTCTATATACCGGTAACACCTCTCGCATTTCTTCAGTGCATTAAGCTGTCTAAAGAAGCTGTTCTTTTTCTTTGGTCTCCATTATTTTTCTGGCAGTCTTATATGTGCCTTCCCAAGATTCTATGCTTTTGACTAAACTTTCCATCATATTAGAGATATTAAATGTAAGTGCTGTAAGTATTAATATTTAACATCGATGTCTTTGTTGACTCCATCGGGAACAGTAGTATAAGGTATGTTCAACATCATCCACTATGCCACAGTATTTGCAAAGATCAGTATTAGACCTTTGTCGTTTGTAGAGATACTGTCTAAAACACCCGTATCCGATAGTTCTTATCTAAGATAAATTGTACGCATCTTTCTAGTAGTATTTCTGCCTGAAGGATACTTAGGCTACACAAGGTAGGTTAGTTTGAAAAATAAAGTTGGATGATTATCTTCTTAACAGTGATATTGGTCTAAGGGGCATTCTCCATTGCTTCTTTACAAATTGTCATCCCTGTATAATTTTGTCAGCCTTAGTAATTTTCATTGCTTATTTCGCATCCACAAAAATCACTAGTTACTCGATATGACTATCGAAAAACGACACACATAAAAAAGCATTAACGTGGTAGCCAGTGAACAATCGCAATTTCATTTCCTGGTCTCTGTTGTGCAGCATAGCACAGCGGCGGACCGGCGGAATATTATCTTATCGATCCGTGAAATAATACGAGGTTACGTCAGAGAAAAACGGCCAGTCCACCACAATAATTAGTGTAAAATGAAAGTGCCGCCAGACGGTTAGTCAGTTAGATCGAAACGAAATGTTACGGCAAAACTGCCTTTGTGCAATTGTAATCCGATGCAATGTCTTTCGTCTCGATGGCTGAACTGTGTTGCCCCTTATGCACGATACATTTTCACGATTTTTTGTTATCTCGGCTAAGGGGATATACAGGGTGTCCTAATATTCCGTGGAAGTAGAACTACTACGTATTATTTGGGATCAAAATAAGTTCAGTGGACACAATTTACCTCTATACAAAATTGCTTCGTTTGTCCGTTAGAGGGCATCAAACTTTAAAAGTTTTGTTAGTTTTCACCGTTTTGGGTACCTAAGACTGGAGAATGTAATCAAGAGATATGAGAACCACAATATACAGTACGTCCCGTTTTTGAGAAAAATGTATTCTTGCTTGTTCTAAAATGTGTATACTTTTTGAAATTTCCATACCGTTTCAGAGAAAATTAAGAAAAACATGAAAATAGTGTTGATTTTTTCCTAGTCCTAAAAATTAAAAGGCGTCTAGTCCTAAAAATCAAAAATTCGATTTTATTCCTTGATAGATAGTTTTATTAATTTTGATTAATGTCATATTCTTTGCTGTTGTTAAAGTATCACATTTTCCGATAACTATCATCGCCCTTTCCGTAGCATTGAACTAAGTAAATTTGGTGCTTCTTTATCATTCTAAAACAACAAAAATGTTACGTTAATTAAAATTCTATGAATAACAATCTATCAAAGAATGTAAACGAAGTTATATTACCATAGAAACGCGTTTTGATTTTTAGAACTTCAGCTTCATTCAGAACCTCGCAGTTAGTGGAATAAATTAGTGGTTTCAATTAGCGTATAGAAGTTTGTTCCTTTAATTTAAATGTAAACCAAACCAAACCAAAATTAGTGGTAGACATTTTCAGTTAGTAGAAAAAGTAAAAATTATCAAACTTTTAACTTTTCCACTAATTTTATACTTCAAAATTTGCAAGAAATGTCATTTTGGCTTTTGATTATCTTCCGTCAAGAGTTGTTGAAAAAGCTTAAAGTTTCATTAGGAGCATCGCAATTAGTGGAATAAATTAGTGGTTTCAATTATACTTTATACATTTTGGTTTACGATCATTCACAATATCTAAAAAACACAATTAAAATTAATAGAATATCCTAGCAACAGCTTGCGGTAGTCAGTTGTATCCACAGAGAAGCCCTAAAATTTAGCTTATAAAACAATTAACTTTTGATTTCTAACCACAAATTCTCTTGGCGGATGATAATCAAAGGCCAAAACGACATTCTTCGCAAATTTTGAAGTATAATTAGTGGAAATTGAAAATGACTCCCACTAATCTTGACGTTCTGAATGCTTATATTGAAATAATGGGAACAAACTTTTACGCTAATTGAAACCACTTATTTGTTCCACTAATTGGGAGGTTCTGAATGAAGCTTTAGGAAAAATTCAACCATATTTTCATGTTTTTCTTAATTTTCTTTGAAACGGTGTCGAAATTTGGAAAAGTATAAACGGGATTAACGATTTTAGAACAAGCAAAAATTTTTGAAAGAATGCATTTTTCTCAAAATGTCAATAATTTTGATCAAAAGATCAAAAAATATTGATGCAGTGGTATAAGCCACTTCATGAAATCTAATCTAACATTTAATGTAGATAAGTAATTTGTCCAATTAGTCAAGGAAGATATGGACACACGACATCCAAAAATGTATATGTTACAGTAAAAGTTGGAAATCAGTGATTGTTAACAAATACTAGTAGAAGCTCACGTTCACTGATTTGCTAATACTACGCACAGGTAATACAGCAGTTTATCTCTGAATCAAAAAAGACATTAAGGGCGCATATGTACGGAAGGGGTAATGGGGATGAGATGACGCGCCTATTTAAAAATAAACATATTATATACTACATAGGTACTCCCAAAAAGAAATTTATAAATAATAAAATGTGGTATAAAATAAAATTACCACCAAAAAAATACCAATCAAAATAGCAAATTCAGACCAAGTTTATATCTAAAATTGATACAAATTTAAAAATACCAAATATTGGTATTTCCTTTAAAATACGATAATTTTTCCCGTCCGGCAACATCGAAATGAAAAGGCCACCGAGACCTTTGTTTACATAACAAAACGATGGCGTGCGAACAAAGCCGAAATCGACATGACTTACCTGCTAAACAAAGGCGAGCGCGTATCCGCTATTTTCTTGTTTCTCTGCCGAATTACAGTCAGAAACCATCTATAGGGTTGCTACACGGTTGAATCCACCCGGAAAACCGAAGAAAACGTCAATATTTTGAAAGAAAACCCGATGGTGTTTTGCCATGTAAAAGCGCGGACCAATCACCGGTCATGCACCGCTGTTCGCGTCCGCTCTCCGACTACTGCGATGTTGGGAGTCCATTTTCCGCGACGACGGTGTTTTGTTTTCACGATCAGCTGTGTCAAACAGCTGATCCGGTGTAAACCTGATTTTATCAGTTACCGTAGCTTTAGTTATCGTTTTTAAACTTAAGGCTACAGTGTTATGTAGTCTAATGTCGAAACTTAAAAATCGCTTATTGTTTTCAAACATAATCATCCGTTTCAACAAAATATATTAAATGCGTCGATACAGACAAAAGCGTTCAAGGATAACAGGTCCAGATAATCGACCCACTCGAATTCCGTATTCCTTAAAAGGGTCAAAATGGTCAAACCAGTTGAAAGTCAAGGTAAAAATCGTTCCGCTTGATACGAGTGGAGTTCGCGTCTTCTGGCATTTGAAAATAGATCTTCATGATTAAAAACCAGTAGATTGCATAGTGGGTATTTTAAGAGATGTCCACACATTTTTAGTAAGTGTGTCAACTGTGGAAAAACTGGAACAAGAATTCAGCGATTTTGGGTCACGGCATCCAGGCAACCGGTGTGCGATTTATTTTGGCAAACGTGTCACCAAATTCCATGAGATTTTATTCCTTGAACAATGTTATGAAAACATTCAACATAAAGATATATTCTTATCGTTCTTATCTTGAAAAAAAACGTTGCACAATAATTACCTAGCTAAATTTATAAATACTTACGAGAATTTGTCGAGTTGTTAAAGCCATATCTACTTTTTAGTTTTGAAATAAATGTTGATAGCAATCTATTCTAAAAGTAAAAAGTATTATAGAGAGGTATGTACAAATAAAATATTTGTTAAAAGGTACCTTGCAAATCTCTTAAAATTTAGATAAACATTTTATCACTTTATTTTAATATCTAATTTCTTCCTAACATGTTTCCTGTCATTTGACAACAAATGTTTAAATGTCAAGTAGGTACGTGTGAATTTCAAACAAATAACAAATTTATATTTAAATATCTATAATTTTTTTCGCAAACAAGACATAAAAAGAAAATTAAACCGAGTTATATTAAATAAATTTATTGTATGCCTATGTGGAAGAAATTGAAATTAATGATGATAAATTCCGCCATCTTTCAACGCTTAGAATAACTGAATTTTATTCTTTTTATCCACTGAGAGATGGCGCAACTAAAAATCATTATTTTGCACCTAAAGTTTTGCACAGTTCTGCATTCTATCTCAGAAAAAAATATTTGATTTTATAAGGATTTTATTGATAAGCTCAGATATTAAAAAGAGTTTGTTTTTATAAAATAGTAAATATTTTGTATACTTTAAAATTAATATTATAGAATCACTATACAATGATGAGTTTTATGTTTAAATATCTTTGGTTTTATGCCACGAGTATTTTATAGATATTTCTAAAATTTTATTCTGGAAAACCAAATCATAAAAGCACAGAATATCTAGCTACGCAACAGAAGCCTCGTTACATGTATAAAATTGTAGGTAGCAAAAGGAGACAGGCTTTAAAAGTCTGTCTCCAAATCAGATATTTTGATGTGGTAGTTTCGCTACTACATAATAGAGGGCAATAAATTTAAAAGAAAACAGTTTTCTACAAACAAAATTTAAAAGAATTTTGTGCAGTGTTGTCATTGTGTAATTCATATCGTAATACTTCCTGATAAAGCCTACCTTCAAATTTGCTACATCATTTAAACATATTAAAATAGATCAGAGCTGTTTTTTTTTCAGTTTGCCATGTTAGTTGGAATGAAATCTTATGAGCTAAATTACAATCACTTCCTGACGTTTGATTGTATAATTGAATCCTGAATTTTCATTGTAATTCGGCGACAATATAATAAGTATTGTTCTACTATTATGATACTACTTCCTGACGTTCGATTGTGTTCATACCAAGTTCATATTGTACAATCGGGAAAAAACGGCGTCAGCGATAGCTATGAAATGAATATCACTGTCATTTTATGTTTAAATTTATATGGGAAATGTCATCGATCGTCCTTTTCCAGCCAACTGGACGCCGTTTTTTTTCAGAAGCATATCCAAGTGATACCATAATATAGTACTATATTACGAAACATGGCGTTCGATTGGGCTTAAACTTGGTATACTATATCTTCAGTGACATTGTAATATTATGGTACCATGGAGCATATAAAGTGGTACCTTCTATAGTACCATATTTGATGACATAGCAATATTAGGTACATGGCGGCAATAGGGCTTAAACTTGGTATACTACGTATTTTCGGTGACATTGTAATATGATGGTACTATGATGCATATCATCTGGTACCATAATATAGTACCATATTATGTACATGGCGTTCGATTGGGCTTAAATTTGGGATACTACGTATCTTCGGTGATATTGTAATATTATGGTACCATGGAGCATAATAAGAGGTACCATAATATAGTACCATATTACGATACCATTTCCTGGCGTTCGATTGGACTTAAACTTGTTATACTACGTATCTTCGGTTACATTGTAATATGATGGTACTATAATGCATATAAAGTGGTACCTTAATATAGTACCATATTTTAATACCATTTCCTGGCGTTCGATTGAGCTCATATTTGATATATACTTGCGTATTTTTGATGACATTGCATTATTATGGTACCATGAAGCATATCAACTGGTACCATAATATAGTACTATATTACGTACATGGCGTTCGATTGGGCTTAAACTTGGGATACTACGTATTTTCGGTGACATTGTAATATGATGGTACTATGATGCATATAAAGTGGTACCTTAATATAGTACCATATTACGATACCATTTCCTGGCGTTCGATTGGGCTCAAACTTGGTATACTACGTATCTTCGGTTACATTGTAATATGATTGAACTATGATGTATATAAAGTGGTACCTTAATATAGTACCATATTACGATACCATTTCATGGCGTTCGATTGTTCTTAAATTTGGTATACTACGGATCTTCGCTGACATTGCAATATTATGGTACCTTAAAGTATATCGAGTGGTACCATAATATAGTACACTATTATGATATCATTTCCTGGAGTTCGATTGGGCCCAAATTTGGTATACTTGCGTTTCTTTATAAAGATTTGTTTAATTAATAATTTTAATTTATTTTATGAATTTTAATTTATTGTTCGATGTCGTGACAGCAACTTTTATGCCGAACTAATATATTATTAATTGTACCTGTGTCACTTTTTAAAATCTACCGAGGTCTATAATATATAAATAACGTGGCAAACGGAAGAAATTTGTTATTATAGTATTTTTAGTCAGTTAACGTTTTTTGTACTGCATTTTAATAAATTATTTCCATATTTCATTACTAACGTTCCAGCATTAATAAATATCACTATCAATCGCCCTGTATATTATTAATTTTAAAGGTAATTAAAGGTATTTTCTTAGTTAACATTATAAGGTATAGTGTATATTAAAAATGTATATGTTTTGTAATAATATACTTAAAACTATTTTAATAGCCAAAGAAATAATTAATATAAGTGTATCTGACAAGAAAAGAAGAATAGAAAGAAACACATACTGCATTATACACAATAAAAAGAATGGGATGCCAATTCAAGTCTTTTTGAATCTGGCAACTATGCATATTTAGCCGAGCTATAAGGCCGTCGACGAGCCGTCGATCCAAAACCGAAAGTTCAAAATTTCTAATTATATTCTGATTATGATATTGTCGCGCCATCTAGTATTCTATTTGTGCAATTTTAGCTCTTTCATTTCGAGTATTTTTCTGTTGCGTAGCTAGATATTCTGTGATAAAAGATAATAACTTGTAAAAAATATTGAATTTTCTTTATTAAAGGTTGTCATATAGTTGATACTTTAATTTGAATTTTTATCTTATGAAAGTATAGAAAAAAGTAAAAATGAAATATATTTTCTCCTTTATTTACCAAGTTTATAAGATCCAAGTTTTTATTATAAATATTTATTATAATATATATGTTTTTTATGCCTTTTTACATTGTTTTACGCTAAAATATAATGAAATTATATTCCAATCCTGTAAAAATAAAAATATGTATGATAGTGCCATCTATTAACCACCGTCCAATGATGAACAACATTTTACAGTAATCTTTAATAAAATAATATGACAGAAATGTAATGATCAGCTGATAACGACATACAAACATACAAGGTCAAATGAAAAAATATAAACAAAGCGATAACACAGATATTCTAATTTATTTCAGATTATTTTACCACAATATATAAAATAATCAAAGAGCAAGTAACCATGTCAAAGTTTAATGGAGTTAAAATAGTTTCACGATATTTTAGCCCCTCAGGCGAGAAGAACTTAATTTTTAGACAGGTAAAATATTTTATTCTGTTCAATAGTAAATTATTTCTTGTGATTTACCTAGTTTTTTGATCATATTAGCAGCACATACACGTATCTCCTCGGCTGCGCAAAGACAAGAGAATGTATTCTCATAGATCCGGTATTGGAACAAGTAAAAAGAGATTTTCAAGTAACTCAAGACCTCGGTCTTAAATTGAAATATGCTGGTAAGTGCAATATTATATTCTATAATAGAAAGTAAGAAAGTTATTTATTTCCAGTGAATACTCATATGCATGCAGATCATGTAACAGGAACTGGTTATTTAAGAGCTTTGTCAGGCTGTAAAACCATCATCTCGAAAACAAGCAGAGCTCAAGCAGACATACATGTTGAAGAGAATGACAGTATATGTTTTGGAGATCACGAATTAAAGGTGTTAAGCACTCCAGGACATACTAATGGGTGTGTAACATATTACTTTCCTAGTCAGGTAAAAATAGTTTAAAGCTTTAAATCTCTGTAATATCTATTGTTTGTTTTTTTATTTAGGGCGTGGCATTTACTGGGGATGCTTTGCTTATTCGAGGCTGCGGCAGAACAGATTTTCAAGAAGGCGATCCAAAGATTTTATACAAAAGTGTTCACAGTAAAATATTTACTTTGCCTGAATCAACCCTATTATTTCCCGCACATGATTACAAAGGAATGATGTGCACCAGTGTGGAAGAAGAGAAGAAATTCAATCCTAGACTTACTAAAAGTGAACAAGAATTTGTTGAGATTATGAACAACTTGAATTTAGCGTATCCTCAGCAAATTGGTAAGTATTTTTAATTAACGTTGAATGTTTGAATTTAAAAAATTAATTATTATTGTAGATCGGGCTTTGCCTGCAAACAGAGTTTGTGGCATTTATGACATTCCTAATGAAGAGAAGAAAAATTAGTCTAAAGCCTTAAAATTCTATATTTTATACTTATATGTACATGATTTTTTTTATATAGATATTGCTAAGTCTGAAGTGCTTTAAGATAAACCTAACGCATTAAATATTTTGATTCATTTAGAATTAACTTTAAACTTTGTATTAACTAACAAATATATATCTACAATTAAGCCAAGGTGTTGTTAGATTAATATTTAAAATTATTTTATATATGTATATACATTATACACATGTTTTAATAAAGAATGTTTAAAATTAGGGTTTAGGATGTCTGTTAATGTTCTTTTGAGTATTTTTGATATCTAAAAACTAGAATAGGTATGTGTTGTTTGTAAAAATGTAGAGTAGAGGAAGATAATATAGAATAGGACTTTTGAGAACATGATACTGATGATACTAACCATGCATAAAAAATTTGTTCCAATCTTGTTTCAAAATTAATTAGTTATTTAACAAAAAATGGGGTCACAGTTGGCCTACAAATACAAATCACAGTCATTTTATATGTAAAAATATATTATGAAAGTCATTGATCACCAGCTCCAAACGCGGTAATTTTGAGACGCAATTTTTGCCATCATACATAAGTAAGTATATATTATGATGATGAATTTGGGATATAGCCTCTCTATCGAAAGACTACCTGCTTTCAATAGATGCATTTGAAAATATGACTAATTATGAGTAATACATATCCCATAATTATACAGAGTGTCAAAAAAATAGCGTATCTATCTTAAGTGGATTTTGGATTGGGACAGATAAAAATAAAATAAAAAGTTCCTATGAATATATGCCAATTAATTTTCGTTTATTGAAATTTCTATATCTATAAGGATAAAAGAAGTACCACTATATACAGGGTAGTCCGAACTGTATTCCGGAAACTTCGGCAGCATATTCTGCAGATAAAAATAAGTCAAAAAGTTCGTAGAGATGTATGTCCTAAAATGCTTAGTTTCTAAGATACAGGGTGTAGAAGTTTCATTTTTATTTCGATTTTTTCCCAATAATTTAGGAAGTAACGTAAATATCTGGATAAAAATTGGTGCCTTGGAGTTTTGTGACGTGAGAAATTTGATTTTAATTTCAATATGACTCCTACTTGTAGAGGGCCCCACTTACATATTTTTTAACTTGTTTGAAGAGTAATAACTTTTAGTCCGAATCTATATAAAACTACTGAGTAAAAAAATATATATTTACGACATTTTCTACGTAAAAAAGGTCTCTTGGAAAAAATCGCCACGAGTAATGGTTCTCGAAATATTTGGAATTGAAATTATCAATACCTGTCATCATTGACATAAATTAAACATGCTGACTTAAATGGTTATTAGACTTAAATCATAAATTTGAAATGTTTTTGTGCCAAAAGTTCAACAGAAACTGTTTTATCGTCATTTTTTCGCAGAAAAATTTCTGATTAATTTAAAAAAATAAAAATTTCCCGAATTTATTATTTCAATCAAATAACTATCTACTCAACGTGTTTATTTTTTGTCAATAATGGCATGTATTGACTATTTCCATTCTAAATATCTTGGGAACGGTTACTCCTATACAGGGACGCGCCGTCCATATGGGCAAAGCCCTAAAAGCGCCTGCGATCACTGACTTTAAAAAATAATAAAACCGTTTTTTGGAACTTATCAACAAATTAACATAAAATTTAAGTAATACTTTTATCTACGAACGCCAGTGATGAAAATATATTATCCACCAATGTCGAGCGCCGCGCCGCTGGTCATTGCAAATTTTGGCTTAATATTATAATATTGGAGAAAGGCGCCTACCCTTATTTCGCACGACGGCGCCGAAAATACTTGGCGCGTCCCTGCTCCTAGAGATTTTTACCAAGAGACATTTTTTACGTAAAAAGTCATGGAAATGTATATTTTTTTCACTTAGTACTTTTATACAGGTACGGACGAAAAGTTATTACTCTTCAAAACATGTAAAACACATGTAGGAGGCGCCCCCTACAAATAGAAGTCATTTTGAGATCAAAATCAAATTTTTCATGTCAAAAAACTCCCAGACACCAATTTACATCCAAATATTGACGTTGCTTCAGAAATTATTTGGAAAAAATCGAAATAAAAATGAAACTTCTACACCCTGTATCTCCGAAACTAAGCATTTTAGAATATACATTTATACGAACTTTTTTACTTATTTTTATCTGCAGAATATGCTGCCGAAGTTTCCGGAATACAGTTCGGACCACCCTGTATAGTAGTACTCTCTACCCTAATGAAATGAAAGTACCCTTTCATGGCTGTTACTGTTCGAGGGCTGGAATTCTTTCGGGAAGCATTTTAGAATTACCTACACTGAAATTAGATATTTTTTCTATCGAATAAAATAAAAAACTACCAAGGATATCATTTAAAAATCAAAAGTTGTAGTAATTTCCGGTGAAACAGGAAGTGACCGAAAATAATTGAATACGCCAGTCAATCCTGATTTATGTCATATACTAACGTACCAAATCTTGTTTTTTTTATCTGAAAAAATAAAATGTTATAGGGGTGAACTGCTTTTAAGAAACACCTTGTGACATTTTTTCGTTGAACAGATGATATACCTATCCTTATACCTATTACCTTTACTACATAAAAATAATTTTTAGATTCTTTGTTAATTATTTGTTGCATTCTTTAGCAATTTTAATTTTATCATATTTTTATATTCTTTATTTAGAATTTAATAGGAGTTTATTACTTTCATCTAACATTGTATTAGAATTTTTTTATTGCTTTTTATTGATGTTTAATACATATAAATTATTTTTCTATATATTTTTTAATAAAAACAGTATTTGTATAACAAAAAAAAACAATTATATTATTTTTACCTACATGTAATCATATTCTTACTCTAAATATTTATATTTTTTTTTTGTAAAATCAGGTAAAATAAAATAAATTTCCAGAATTCTCTTGTATATATTCTTAAACATAACACAGTAAAATAGTGAGATTTATATCAAAAATATTCATTATTCTAACATTACACTCTTATTTACATATATTTATTGATTAAATATTCTAGCTTCATATAAATAGGTAGTCTTAAAGATTATTGATCATTTTTCAGCCGAATATGATCCGTCAGTAGCCAACATCTGAGCAAAGTGACTCTTCTTGTTCTCAATCAGATTCAAAGGATTATCAAACTCGACAATCTTTCCTTGATCCATGACGATAATCTTATCACATTCTATAACCGACTGTAAACGGTGAGCAATAATGAACACGGTGCATTCAGCAAAGTTCCGTCTAATCGCAGCCTGAGCCTGCACCTCGGTTTCTGGGTCCATGTTGGCCGTGGCTTCGTCCAACACCACAATTTTGTTTTTCTTGATGATGGCTCGTGCCAGACAGATGAGCTGTCTTTGGCCAGTTGAGAAGTTCGACCCGTGATCTGTGATGGTCAGTTCGAGGCTGTTAATGTGGTCGCGCATGTGAACCTTCTCCAAGGTGTCCCAGATTTCTTTATCCGTAAATTTATCGTAGGGATCGATGTTTTGACGGATGGTTCCTTGGAACAGTAAGGGATCTTGAGGAATTATCGATATGTGGTTCCTCAGATATTCCAAGTCGACAGTCTTGATGTTTAAACCATCTATCAAAATGGTACCTTCGTAGTCGTAGAGTCTAAATAAGGTAGATATAATTGAAGATTTCCCGGCGCCTGTTCGGCCTACTATGCCGATCTTTTGTTTAGGTTTGATTTCAAAACTAATATCTTTTAATACCTTCTCTGATTTATAGGTCAGTGACACGCTGTTATACATAACTGAACCTTTCAAAGGCCAGTTATCGGGTTTGTCACCTTGATAGTTGTCCTGAGGTACTTCGGTGTATTCGAGAACTCTCTCTACAGACGTCATGTCGTTCTCTAGATCGGACCATTGCAATAATGCGAACTGGACTAGCATAGCTAAGGCTGAAGCCTTGGTGATGGCTAATCCTACATCAGCACCTGCTTCGCCTAAAAATTAAAGTTTTATTGTAAAAATTATAAAAAATGTATAATTTATAAAAATTATGCAATATGCGTCTCAAAAGTGGTTCACCCTTATAACTTTTTTTATTTTTTCAGATGACAGAACGAGATTTGGTATGTTAGTATATGACAAGTTAGGATTGATTGACGTATTCAATTGTCTTAGGTCACTTCCTGTTTCACAGGACATTACTACAACTGATTTTTAAATGGCACTCTCGGTATTTTGTTACTTTATTTGATAGAAAATTACTTTCTGAATAGAATGACACATAATATGTCAACTTTTGACATTTTCAAATATGGTTTATTTGAAATTGCAACAGGCGATTCATAACGATAATTTAACTCGAAATACCAAGTGGTATATCAAATTATTCGTAAAAATGCCTTTTCCAAATATGTTAATGATCTACCCTCGTACAATTTGAAAAAAATCAGATATGATTAAAAGTACGATTTGGGTATGCGGCCAGGACAAGACATTAAAAATATTGGATAATCAAATCTATTTTTCCAAAGCTCCTTGATTAAAAATTGGTGTTTTTAACACAGCAATGGCACTCTAGATTGAAATTTAAAATAAAATTTTGTTTTAAGCGAAGATTTCAAAAGTTGACATATATGTCATTCTATTCAGACTGTAATTTTCTATCGAATGAAGTAAAAGATACCGATGGTGTCATTTGAAAATCAAAAGCTGTAGTCATTTCCGGTGAAATAGGAAGTGGCCGAAAACAATAATACGTCAATCAATCCTAATTTATATCATATACAGTACGTCTGCTGGTTCTGTGTCTATGAAAGGAATGCGGACAAAAAACATTTAAATAAACAACAATATATTACATACGTCGACTTGACGAGTACGTCACCGCAAATCGCTCCTCCCACTTATTTTATTGGCTACTTGCAAATTTGTCGAATTTTTATTGATGGGACGCTTAGTCTAATTTTTTACGAAAAACATCGAGAGAATATCGTTGCCCCTCTCACGGATACCCCGTAGCTACAGAACGAACAGACGCACAGTACCGTACTAACACACCAAATTTCGTTTTTTTGTCTGAAGAAATAAAAAAGTTATTGGGGTGGGCTACTTTTGAGACGCACCTGGTATATTTGATTAATTTAGATTTAGAATACTTTTTCAATTTATTTATAGGTAATGTTTATATTTAAGATAATAAACTACTTACCAGTATTGTAGAAAAGTAGTTTTCCAATGATGATGGTGACGAAAATGGTGGATAGCATATCCATAAAGAATCCAAAGGCTCTTTTGATACAGAAAGACATATAGTGGGCCGAAGTATATAGATCTTGATGTCTGTCAAATTCCTCCACTAATATTTTCTGTGCTTTGGATGCTCTAATGGTGGTGACACCTTCCATGGTGGCGTTTAGGTGTCCAATGAGTGGGCTACGAGCTATATAAGAGAGTAAAATAAATATTATAGTACCACATTTGGCTTTAATACCAACATGTTTTGAAGTGAAGGATAGCCTATGGTTTAAAAAAATTGTCCGATATAAATAAAATTTGGTATGTCGATAGGTTGGGCCAAAGCATAGACAAACTAACAAAAGCTTTTGTTAGTTTGTCTATGGGCCAAAGCCAACTTCACTGTGTATGACACGTATCACTGTAACAGTTAGTTTTGACGATGGTTTTGACATAAGGAACGTTAAAAGTTGATGTCGTCCGATCCCCAGACAGCACATAATATCTTAAAGACGTCTTTTTTATATCTTACTTAGATCCAACGCCTAAAGACTAAAATAAGACAACTTTTGGACATCATTGTAAAGATATTCATAAGATGACGAAATAAAACATCTTTAGGATTTTTAGGATTTCTCTAAAATGACATTACTTTAATGAAACTTTAGGATTTCTCTAAAATGACATTAGAAATGATTAGAAATTTTAAATGTAATTTTTTCTATTTATCTCGTTTTTTTCTAGAGTAGGCGATAATCATAAAAAAGGAGAGTATAATCTGGTATAATATGGCATAAATATGGTATAATCTTAACAGAAATAAAAACATTATCCTGATTTAATTTATAGGCGCAAATATGACGATTGACAGGCGTGACAGTTATCTTCTGTGGTTGTGGTTGATGTTGATGTGAGGTTATGTGATCGAAAATCTCTGGAAAACCTCGTGAAAAATGTTTGTTCTTATCGTTGTTCTAAGTTGTAAAAAGGCGCGCAAAACCGTTTGGCAAAGGGACGTGATATAAAGTTTTATCAGAGAATTTAACCAAAATTTCATCATTAAAGCTGATCAAAGAAGTTAAAGCTGATATTGTAGGTAAGCCAAGTAAGTTTAAATCATTTAGGTTGTTAGATATATTTGAACAATTATCTTATTTCTATGATTCATATTTTAGATGCGCATGATAACACATCTGAAGATTTCCCTCCAGTGGTTGTCCAAGAAGAAAATACCAATACATAAAGTTTCGGTCAGATATATCACTATTATAAAATGTTAACTGTTCATTTCATATTGGTCAGTGTAACATCTGAGAGAAACATGCTTAATTTAAAAATTAAAGACAATGCCAGTCCAAGAAGATGTTTTATTTTATAATTCACCATTGTCTCCCATTTTCATTCATATTAAAAGACATTTTCAGTACATTGTTAAAATATATCTTAAAGACATTGTACTCAAGACGTCTTAAAGATGTTTTTTTAACATCAGACGTTGGTAAGATGCCTTTAATACGTCTAAAGGCGAAAATAGACGTCTATGAGATCCCAGTAATCTTGAAACAAGTTGTCTTATAGATGTATTTAAAATGTCACTGTGCTGTCTGGGATCGCGACCAAATTTGGTGGCTATGCTATGTGAGCGACGCGACGGTGGACACGGTCCCACCCTGCAAAGTTAGATACGACGTTTCGTTTGCATCTTCTTGAGGGTAGGACTAACGATTTGATACTGAAGAAAAATGTGGGTCGATTTCGGCATAGGTGGGGACGGGCTACAGAATGACGCGCTTGAGGTTTCAAACTGATGCCTCCAAATGGACGAAATCATCAGGATTTTTCCTAATTATGGGTCGATTGGAACCAAACTCGGCACGTGGATAGAGGTACCCGAATGGAGTCCTCAGACGGGCAGACAGACAGGCGGAAGTAATAAGAAGTTTCACTTCAAATATACGCACATAGTTTTTTTTAAGTAAAAAGACCAATTAAGTAAATATATCAATTTAAAATTGATGGCTTTCAAATTTACTGGAATAAACAAAATTATAAACAATCAACAACTGATCATTTCAGAAAAAAAAGTACTCTCATAAAAAAGTACAAATGTTTTATTAATGATGTTATTTTTTTTTGAAAAAATATACCGTGTCATTTCTTTGTTGATTGCTATATTCACACACGTCCTTGTAATTAAGCTTTTTGAAACTAAAACCCAACATACAAATTATATTATACTACTTAACATAGTATTATTAGCGGCCTTCAAAACCTATTGTTACATATAGCCCAATCTAAATATACGGTTCTTAATATAGATATCCAAATTTTTTCATTTCCATTCATAAAACCGAAATTCATTCAGTAGGTTTAATAGACATTTAAAAATTGTTTGCATTATATTTAAGTACTTATAATCAAAAGCAGTTTTTTTACTTTGTTTGCTATATCCTTAAGCACTTACTTGCAGATTCTAAACGTTTGAGACTCCTGGCTGCAGGTTGGTAAACTCTCTGTAAGAGGGCCAGTAAAACCACCAAGACACCTGCAGGGATCAAGAATCTCCAATTAACCGATGATACCAATGCTACTATACCACCAACTGAGAGGACCACCTAAAATCAAATCATTTTGTAATACTTAACTAATTTTGAATGTACTATGTTTAAATTTTTATTCTCTATGCTTTATCGCAATAAGGTTGCTATTTCAGAAATACGTTTGTATTTTTTAACATCACTTTGTGTGACTTACTGCAAAAGTATAGTTAAGTAATATGGGAATTATTATTTTTGTCGTTGTTTAATGGACATAGAAGCATACTGTGTATACAGGGTATCCCAGAAATAAGTGCAAGTATTTTAAGGGGTGGTAGATCTGGACAAAAGAAACATATTTTCTCTTTACCATTTTTAAAATAAATTGATAATAGCCGAGTTAGGTGCCCGGTGGCGTAAAGGTACAGGCTCTCGTCTACCAATCTCAAGGTTGTGGGTTCGAATCTTATACCCGGCATTTCATAAGCCGACTATTTTTATTAAAATAAAAATAGTTTGGGTACCTAGGTCAACTCAGCCTTAAATGAGTACTTGGGATTCACAATCCTGAGGTAATAATAAGCGGTCGAAGCGTAGTGCTACCCAGATTACCTTCCTTGTATACCGAACGGCTCTAGCATGGCAAGCCGTACCTTGCTACTCTCAAGGCGTTCAACGCTATATACGGGAGCTATTATTATATTTATCTAACTCTCGAACCACTATAAACAAATTCCCGGAAACTGAACAAGTGGCACTCAAAAGTTTTTCGATATTTTTCGGGAAATGTGAAGAAAAATATAAAAATTTTCACATTTCTTTTTTCGCAATAAAAACCTCATGGGACTGTTTCTGGGGTCGAACTATACTATAAGTTAAAATAATTGCACTTATTTCTGGGGCACCCTGTATATTTTTGAAAAGCTTGTAAATCGTCAAATCAACTTCATGACGAATATGTAGATTATCCCGTTTAAGAAAACCTAAACATTGAACATTATCTCAAAGATAGAACTATCACGGAAAACTACTGCCCCCACTGGATTCTCTCTAAAATGTTCTTATTTCTCTGCGGAATGAGTTATTATCCTTTTGATAAATTGTCAGACAGCTGAGATATGAGGAGTCATGTGAAATTGTAGCATTTTTAAAATCAGCCTGTGATTAAAGAGGCCATGATGCAAATTCAGTTTGCGGTTTTCAAGTTCGTGAAAACTGCCTGATTTTTTCTAAAGGGTGGTTCTCATCTCTCATATATCAGTCTCAATGAAGTAGTTAATGACTGATGTAGTTAACAGTTAACACGTATTAAGAGAATCGATTAGTATATTCATACTTTCAGTGAAAGTGAAAGCATTTTAACCAAAATTTTAGCTCAAAAAATATTAACTAATAGAATCTTGTGCAGATACTTACCCTGACAAAATGATTTACAGTGTGCGGCAAATGCTCATCAACTTTTGTCAGATCTTGCGAGAACCTGTTCAAAATATTACCAATGAAGTAGTTATCATAGAACGTCATTTTGGCGGTGGTTAGCTTCTCAATCATGGTGTTGTGCAGATTTACAGAAGCCTTTCTGGAAAAATTGATAAACAGCCATTGTTTCAGGAGGTCCAGAACGACAGAACCCAGGATCATTCCAGAATATAGCTTCAGTGTGAAACTGGCTTTTTCCTGAAGCTTGATAAAGGGTTGGGAGTGCATAGCCGTTTCGTTACCTGCACCTACATTTGAAGCTTTTTGTTCCAGGTTGATCCTACACAGAGAAACATACTTTAAAAATACGAATAAATAGTGTAAATGAATGTCAAATTTATCTTAACATAAAACAAAAAATCATTAGATGGCTTCGATAGAAACTTACTGGTATATGTTATGAGCCATATGTTACAGTACGTCTGTCCGTTCTGGAGCTACGGGGTATCCGTGAGAGGGGAAACGATGTTCTCTCGATGTTTTTCGTAAAAAATGAGACCACGCGTCCCATCAATAAAAATTCGACAAATTTGCAAATAGCCAATAAAATGCGTGGGCGGAGCGATTTGCGGTGACGTACTCATCAAATCGACGTATAAAATATATTGTTGTTTATTTAAATGTTTTTGTCCGCATTCCTTTCATAGACACAGATCCAGCAGACGTACTGTATATTGCCCCGGTCGATTCCATATAATTTTACAATTAAAATGACAGTGATCTTCATTTCCAAGCCATCTCTTATACCATTTTTTGTCGATCGTATATTATAATTTTAAATTATTCAAAGTATTTTCAATAATTTATAAAAATAACAGCTTTTAAGTATGTAGGTAAACTTAGCAATATTTACCAACCAAATATAACTTTATACTTAAGCAAATTGTTTATTGTAAGCTAATTTTATACAGACGGACCATAGGAAAATTTTTAATGAGCAATTGTTCCCTATTGTTACTTTACTTTATCTACGACTTAAGTTTGATTTTCATGCGTCCGTTATCCGTTGATACGCTGCGATGTTCCGACGGCGCTGTGATTGGTTTAGCGTTTTCGCACCATTTTTCATCTGTAAATTTTTTACTCCAGCCCGCCAACGGAGAAAGATCGTACGATAACGGATTTTTTGACACTTTTTGACAAGTTTAATCTAAACTTAATAAAAATTTAATAGTACAAGAGCTAGCTCGGAAAACGTGAATTTTAAGAAAGCGGAACTCTGTAACTAAATAGCGATCGGTAGCGATAAAGAATACTGACCTTGCCCGTACAAAATAAACGACAAGCGACAGTATTCTTCATCGCTACCGATCGCTATTTCGTTACAGAGGTCCACCATTTAATAAATCTTTTGCTATGCTCTCCTAACCAAAGTGCGGGCCGTCTGACTGCCGGTAGATTACTGCGGTGCACTACTGCGCATCACATCTGTACAGAGTATCCCATTTTCGTGTGTTTTATGGGATTTCCCGTTTATGAGTAGAGATACAATCAATGACGAGATTTTCACATTACTTGAAACTAAATATATGCTACACATATGTTTGTTCTAGCCTCCTTAGTTCCTGAAATACAGGGCGAATTTGTGATGCGCAGTGTTCGATGTTGAATACAGATATGATGCGCAATAGTGAACGCAACGTCTACCGGCATAGCAAAAGATATATTAAAGAACCAGCTTTCTTAAACCCAATCGAAGTCTTTAAATTCAACCAATAAAATTAATATCGTATCATCGTATCGTCGGACAACGGATGCATGAAAATTTCTCAGAACTTCATAGTGTCGCCAGCGACATGTCAAAAAAAACAATGAGATTTGCATAAAATTCAAACAGCTGTCAATATTACATTTAAAGAACCCTCATTGGTTCTTTGAAGTATCAACCAGTGTAGCCAGCGACATAAACATATTAAATAATATGTTCCTGTCAATATAGAAAATTTAACTTTTTTAAAATATAACCGATTATTTATTTAAAGTCTCATTTTTTTTCAGTTATTTTACTGTTCTTTGGTAAATAAATGTAGTGTTCTCGAATTTAGTTATACTTTAAATCGATTTTCTCTATTCATTTTGTTTTTTATGTTAAAATGTTAATGATATGGTTTGTGAGCTTACCAATTAGTCAGTAGCCTAGATGCGTAACTCTCGGTGAATTCGGAGCCCAAAAACAATAAGGTGATGGCCAGAAACACCAGAAATCCACCACCGAAAGCAAAATACTTTCTAAATACAGCAAATTCAACTTTCCCAGTCTTCTTCACTTCGCTATACACCTTCTTCCTTCCACCCGGCTTCCTCTTAATCAATTTCGAATTTTCCGTAGCCTTATCATTTTCATCCTCTTCTTCTTTTTTCTGATGTTCCTCGTTTTCTTCTAATTCAATTTCTTTGATGATATCTACTTTCACCTCGGCGGGTCGACCTTCGTATTTTACCTCGCCTTCTTTCATTACGATTAAGGTATCCGCGCTGTTTTTATGTTTGAGATTGTGCGTGACCAGGACGCAGATCTCGTCTTTGAGGAATTGCTGGATACAATTCTGGAAAATGTAGTCCTGGACTTTCGGGTCGAGAGCGTGAAGGGGGTCGTCTAAAAGATACACGTCGCTTATTTTGTATATGGCTCTGGCCAGATTGATTCTAGCTTGCTGTCCGCCGCTTAGGTTGATTCCTCTGTCTGCCACGATGGTTTCGTCACCTTTATCGAACATGTTGAAGTCGTACTGAAGAGCGCACACCCTTACCACCTCTCTGTACCTTTCTTCGTTGTAAGGTTCACCGAAAATGATGTTTTGTTTAATGGATGAAGGGAAAAGCCACGGATCTTGGGAGCTATACGAAAACGTAGCTTCGGACAAGATTTTTCCGTCGGATATTGGGTAATCTTTGAGGAATAACTTCAGTAAGGAGCTTTTTCCACACCCTAAAGGACCTGTTACTATAGTTAATCCGGGTTTGAGTTCGACAGAGATGTTTTTAAGTATAGGGTTCTCTTTGATATTGACGTCGACGTTGGATAGTTTGACTCTGGGTTTTCCCATAGTGTGGTGTTCGTGCTCGTCCAATTCCTCGGCACCAAGAACTTTGTTAATTCGTTGGGTGGCTGCAAATAATTCCGCGCCCCTTCCCAGGCCGAAGGGGATGAGGATGGCAATAGACTGTCTGATGTCGCCGAAGACTTTCATGGCGTAGAAAATGACGCCGGCGTTGGCGGTTTTGTTGACGTAAATGTAGGTCATGATGAGGGCGTAAAAGCCCACTTTGGACATTAGCATGCCGACAATGAAATTGGCCGTACGTAAATAGAGCGACCTCATCAGGAACGTCATTTCCAGTCTGGAAGGAATTAAGCGAATTACTTTATTATTTAAGTTTGTAGAGGCGTCGATTAAGGAAGACATTAATTTGTAGTTTAGAAAGGATTTTTCTTGCATATTAATTACTAAATCATCTGATATTATTTTTTATTATAAAAAACACTAAATTTGCCATAAACATTTTGCATTTTTTTCAATTATCGTTACTTTTTGATCATATTCTTTATAATGACGACGTGGCTTTGGTGCTTATTGTTGTGTACGATTAAATATGGTCTTTAATGTCGAAGATTGTACAAAATTTATTAATCTTGTTGAAGATGGCCGAAATTATGAATATTCGCTGTGTACTTGAAGAAAAATGGAAAAACATAACACAATATATTTGCAGCCTCATTAACAGTATGAACCGACGTTTACAGACAGTTATAGCACAGATTAGGTGTCCTATAAGTATACAGATAAAAATCTTGACCCTAATTCGTGGTACGAAAATTGTTTTTTATGACGATGTGCAAACGAGTAAAATTTCCTCTGCGCCAAAATAAATTCGCGTAAAATAACAATAAACAGCGTAATAGAGAGATATCGCTAAACCGAATAGCGTGCATGGACGTTAATAAGGCGCCAGGTATTATTTCCTTTACGTGAGGTGGTATTAACTCTCTTCATTTATAGTTATCGGATCGGAAAGAATTCTGTTCGCTTCGCGTCCGCTATTTAAACTTAACCTAACTTTGAAATTGTTTTGTTTACTAGGTATTTTAAAACTAAAGGGCTAAAGTGCGTATTTCCGTTTTTATTGTTCAACGTCTGCCAGTGGGTTTAGGGCAACAAGCAACAAATTCTCTTAGAAGGGCTAAGTCGTCATCTGCTGTAAACCTAAGCCTCTTTATAGGTTCTTTAATATTGGAAGAGGTGTAATCCATATTTTGGGCCATATTTAATTAATTAAAACTAATCCCAGCTACTTAAATATCAAATTACCTAATAAAACTAAAGTAATAATTCAAAACAATTCAATTCAGTGTTGCGTTAAAAATTGACTCGCGCATATCGTAACCATGATAAGGTACACGTAAATACTGCATGACGCTATTTGGTTTTCCGATATCTCTCTAATAACTGTGCCGGTCAGGCGCTGTGCACAATTTTAGAAAGCCATAAGAGGGCGTGCTATGTGCGCAAACTAGTAACCTAACTAGTGCCCGATTCCGAAAATTGGAACCACGAAAAACAATAAGGAAAAAACAAAGTTTATAATCTGTATAATCTGTGGTTCTAGTACCCAGGGAGCATTTAGCTATTACAGTTATTTTTTTAATATACTTAGTTTTGTTAGTGTTAATAATATTTTTTAAAACCAAGCCTATATCGTTAATTTTTAGCGGTGTTTAAATTTTCATATAGAGTTCTAATCAGTGTCGATATGACATTACGACAATAGTTTCCAAAGCCACTTCTTGATATTAAAAATAACATCATAAAGTTATGATAGTTTGATGAAAAAATTACAAATTGTAGGTGGCAAGTTCATTTCGCTCTTAAAAATTAACCAAGGCATGTATTGATATGAGTCAAAAAACAAAATGGTCAGTAGACGTGGGTCTAATCGAAAAATAATGTTTTAAGTAGTTAAAAGTTACTCGCGAAATTATTGCACAGGATGTTTTACAGAAAGTTAAGGTAAAAAACAACTCTTTAATTAACCCTGTATAATAAGCCAAATACTAAAGTTGATGAAAAACTGAGTTTATGAATTGAAGTTGATAGATTTACATACAGTTTGCTAAAAAAATCATGAAATAGGGCTAAAAGTAAAAAAATAATTAAAATTATTCGTTGCATTTTTTTGCATCTGAGTGTATTAAAATTTGTGTTAAAAATAATTAAATAATAATAATTTCTTAGTTTTTACACAAAACTCGAAAATAAACACTTGCAAATCAAAATTAATATTTAATAGTTAGTATAAGAAATATGTATACTCTGTAGTCAACGAGTTTAAATTTTATGTCAGCTGAAAAAAAAACGAAAAAATATCTGGTAAAAATAAGGATATATCTTTTCTAATTGAAAAGGAGGTATTTTACCCATAATTACCGATTGCCTTTATTCTGATGATTAATGGTGACTTCTATATTAAGTGATATTTCTAATTATTTCTTCTCTCCAAAATCCTATATGGCTATTTCACCACTGCAAGAAAATCTACAAAATATAATTTTTTGTAAACACTGCTACCTTAATCCGACTGAAACTACTTGTTTACAGATTAGGTTTACAGATAAACAAATTTGCCTAACGAACAAAAAAATGCTTAACGTTTCGGAAAGTTTATCCATTTCCGTCGTCGGAAGCAAAAAATACAAAGAATAAAGAAAAAAACTAATTAAAATATTTGACGATTGTTAAAATCAACGGTTTTTGTAGACGTATCTGTTTAAAAAAACTAAAGTGTTCTCGAATAGTTGCGTTTAAATTATTTTAAATAGTTTTTTTCTTTATTCTCTGTATTTTTTTGCTCCCGACGAAGGAAACGGATAAACTTTCCGAAAGGTTAAGCATTTTTTTGTCCGTTAGGCAAATTTATTTATCTCTAAACCTAACTGCTGACAAGTAGTTGCCGTCGGATTAACGCAGCAGTGTTTACAAAAAATAACTATTTTATTTTGTAGATTTTCTTGGCAGTGGCGAAATACCCATATAGAATTTTTTTGGAAAGATGAATCTGCCACATAGCTATAGACATTTTTTATAATTATTTCTTGTCAAAATTTTTGTTACAAAATTTAATAAAAAAAATCATTACCTTCGCCTCTCCTCAACTTTTCCAGAAAATATTCTTTCCCAAGTGTACATTTTTATGATTTTCATCGCCGACAGCGTTTCCTGGGTAGTTTGCAATCTTTCGTCGGTCTTCTTGCATAAATCCAATCTCATGTTTTTGATTAATTTTGCCACATAAACTGCAAACACATATTTTCCTCTTAAAAATGGAACAAAGTTGATTAAAAGAAAATTAAATTTCACATTTAACAACTGAAAAAAAAGATTAAAGAGAAGTAAATACTATTTTTACATTCATTCATTAGTTTTTTTCTGTTATTCTGATTCTGTTTCTCTTGGCAAATTGATTTTTTTAATTTGTTCCGTTTTTCTACGTTTATTTTGTATTATTTCTTGTTTATTTTTTAATTGTTTTATGCAGAAATATGAAAAACATTGCAGATTTTTAGAGATTGCTATAGCTAAATTCAGGAAAAATTCCGTAGAAAAAATCTGGGATAGTAACCAAGGGTAAAAAATGGCAATCAAAAATAAAAACGGCGCGGCGTAAAATTATACGGGGTTATATACCACATACGACACGTAGTATTGTAGCTAAACGATTAAATGTTTACAAATTGTAAATTTTAGGTTCCTTGAATGACTATTAGAGCTACAAATATTATTACAAGATACAGACAGAGTGTCCCAAATAAATAAAAAATGTTATAGTTGTATTTTTTTTTAAACGGAACACCATCTACATTATTGCCTTTTTATATTCTACGATTGAAATAAAGGTAAAATTGATTAAGGTTTATCATACTTAAACCTTACCGTTTTTGAAAGATATTTAATTTTGTGTAATTGTAGTAAAAAAATTTAAAGCTTAATTTCTCTAAGGATATGAAAGTTTTTAATGCTAAATATGTACTAAAGTTTATTTATTGATCAGATATTATATTGTGATAATAAAAATTATACTACCTTATACAGAGTGTCTAAAAATGTATATTTAATAATTACTCTAGCTTTAAACAGCAATAACTTCTTTAATTTAAATGGAATGCCCTATATATTTTATAAAAAAAATCTAAAACGTCAATGGTTATATTGATAAATGAGGTCTAAATTATAAGAAAATGCATTTTCTATGAAAACTTGAAGAGATAGGTAAAAAATGCTATAGTACAATTAAATTGTGTATCTGATTCTCGTAAAACATATAGGGTGTTCCATTTAAATTAAAGAAGTAAATTAACGTTTCAAGCTAGTAATTATTTAAAATAAATTTTTAGATACTCTGTATAAAGTAGTATAATTTTTATTATTGCAACACACAATTATTAGTAAATAGAAAAATTTCAGTACAATATTTGGTTTTAAAAACTTAAATACACCTAGAGAAATGAAGCATTAAAATTGTTGAATATTAATTGAATATTTCAATGATAAGATTGTATATTATTAAATGATAAGATTGAATATTATTAAATATTTCCATGATAAGATTAAAATGCAATAAATCTTAATCAAATTTACCTTTATTTTAATCATAGAAACTAAAAATGTAATAATATACAGGGTGTTCTATATAAAAAAATACAACTTTGATATTTATTTGGGGCACTCTGTATCTTTTAAAATATTTTCAAATTGTAGTCCTTCTTTTTAATTTTTAAATTGGAGTCTAACAGTTCTTGAATGAACCCAAAACTTACAATTTCATTACAATTACAATACTCCTTGTCGTATGTGGTGAATCACCCTGTATGAAGAATGACGCATTTTTTGGACGTCGCACAGTGGAACGGATTAGCAGAAAGTGAGAGACATTAGAATAAAATAATTTTTATTCTTTTATAATTTAACTGCCATGGTTATTTAGAAAAATACTCTAATTATTATTATCTTATTGAAATTTTGAGACATACTATCCTGATTCGTTAATATTTTGGTACAAAGGTAACTTATCGCCAATTTAGATCCTTTTGTAATATATGCAACAAAGTAATGCCAAAAAAGCGGGCCCCTAAGGGACATCCGCCATCCGCCAGTATACTGGTGGAACGATAATATTGCAAAATTGCGGAAATAATGCTTTAAAAATAGGAGGGCATATACTCGGCACGTAGGTAAAGGGTATACTTCAGTGGACGCTCTATTAAATGTTTATAAGGAAAGTAAAAAAAGACTGCGTGATGAAATAAAGACTGCCAAAAGAAAATGCTGGAAAAAGCTTTGTGATGAAGTTGACTGTGATATATTTGGGAATGGATATAAAATTGTTATGAAAGGGATGATCGGTTTTCCCCCTCAACCAAATCTCTCCATGATAGCAATGGAGAAAGTGGTAAAATATCTGTTCCCTAACCACAAATCTGTGATATTTAAGTGCTGTGATATAGATAAGTTTGAATGTTTTACAAAGGATGAACTACTAATGGCTTGTGATAGGTTAAAGAATAATAAAGCACCAGGGCCTGCTGGTATTCCTCCAGAAGTTATTAAACAGATGGGCAAGGTGAAGCCAGACTATGTGTTGTCAGTGTATAATCAACTTGCCCGGTCAAACTGCTATCCGACTCGGTGGAAAGTTGCAAAGTTATTATTAATCCTAAAACAAAATAAAAATATAGGCGAACCAACTGCATACAGGCCCCTCAGCCTCCTGGACGTTGAAGGGAAGATATTTGAACACCTAATACTGGGAAGATTAAACAGCGAAGTAGAGAGAACTGGTGGACTGTGCGACAGACAATTCGGATTTAGAAAAGGACGCCAAACGGTAGATGCAGTGATCCAGGTTATTAATATAACTAAAAAAGCAGCAGCATTTAGTCATCGAAACCGCAGGTTGTGTGCGCTGAAAACACTGGATGTTAGGAATGCTTTTAATAGCGCGTCATGCCAGCTAATCTTGGAAGATTTGAGGGAGAGGGGCATTAAAAATAGCCTAATAAATATAATAAGTTCTTATCTGTCCGAGAGAAAAATCTTGGTGGAAACTGAAGAGAGAACGAAACTGGTAAGAATAAATTCCGGAGTTTTGCAGGGATCTATTCTTGGTCCCACATTGTGGAACATTTTGTACAATCCCCTATTAAAGTTGGATATGCCAGAGGGTATTACTCTTATTGGATTCGCGGATGATGTAGCAATGGTAGTGATTGCTGATAATGAAGAAATACTTATGAATAAAGCTAACACCGGCCTCTTGAGAATTTCTAAATGGATGGCACAAAAGGATTTACAGCTAGCACTACAAAAGACTGAGGCGGTAATTCTATCCACCAAACGAAAACTGGCACCAATTCTTGAGGGAACTTTGATCGTACCTAAGAATGCTGTAAAATACCTCGGAGTCTGGTTAGATAGTAAAACAACATTTTGTGAACATGTTACCCAAACAATTACTAAAGCGGAAAAAACTCTTGCTGCATTATCAAAACTAATGCCGAACATACGGGGCCCTAGGTCATCAAAGCGTAGAATTCTTGTAAGCGTAATACATTCACAATTGTTATATGCAGCTCCGGTATGGTGTAAGGCAATGGACAAAATAAAAACAAAGCGAAAGATAATAGCTCTGCAGCGCAAATTATGTATTAGAGTTTGTAGCGCTTACAGAACTGTATCTACTGAGGCAGTTGGTATCATTGCGGGCATTCCTCCTATCCACTTATTAGCTCATGAACGAGCGGATACATACAAGGGAGAGCTCAAACAAATAGCCAGGAAAACTATGATGGAGAAGTGGCAGGATCAGTGGGATAAAGGAAAGTACGGAAGATGGACCTGGAGACTTATACCCAACATCGAAAAATAGATTGACAGACCATATGGTGAAGTGGGATACCACCTGACACAAATGCTGTCTGGACACGGGTGCTTCCGAAAATACCTCTATAAGATGCGGCGGGCAAGCTCTGAATCATGTTTATTTTGTGGTCAAATAGACGACGTTGAACATGTGTTCTCCTGTCCAAGATGGAAGGATGAGAGAGATCATTTTAAGAAGGAGAGTGGACTGGATTTCACTGAAACGAACTTAATGAGAAGCCTTGAGGGAGGTGAATTATTACGGGAAACAGTAAATAAATGTATAAATAATATACTAAGTAAAAAAGAAGAGGAACAACGCCACATGGCGTAGGCAGCCCCCACGTCGAAGTAATGCGTAAGCGGTTCCGGCGTGGTGTGCTTACTTGAACGAGAAGGGTTTTTTTAGCCGGTAGGAATCCGGCACTACCCAGTTATGGGTGTCTTATGGAAGATTTTTTCCCTCCTCATCGCAAAAAAAAAAAAAAAAAAAAAAAAAAAAAAAGATGTAACGTACCGTCAATAAATAATAAATATCAAGAAATAAAATAAAAAGAAATTTTTGAAACCGGTAAACTTCTTTATTACACAATTGCCAAATCATAAATCATAACCAATGTTTTTTTTTTAATTTCTGCATTTAAATATTATTTTGATTATCAGAAATATAACATCAAGGAACTAGATGAAAATACACAAACATCAAAGTTTTTGAACTATATAAATTGAGATTCGACCGGGATTCGCTCTACCACTTATATCCATATAATTATTAGTTATAGTAAACACAAAAATATAACATTTATCTGCTACCGTGATAATTTTGGAAAAACAAAAGTTGAGCGTACGGACAAAAAGTCGTTTTTTGATAGTAAAAAAAATAAAGGGGTTTTCTTAATAACATGTTAATATATATTTAAAAGGGCCATTCTTGAACCTACTCTAAAATACAGGGTCGAAAATTTTTCCAAAAAAAAAGTTTTTTTTTTATAATAACTCTTATGTTATTATAGACATTTTTATCAAACTTGATCTACATTTTATATACAGCAAAACGTCTTTATTTTGTTCAAACAAAATTATTTATTTCAACCAGTGGCGTCCGGACGGGTTTTATATAGAATATATTTCGAGAAAAAATGGTACGCCACTGACTTAAAATAAAAATTATTTTCAAAATCTTCATTTATTTCTAAACAATTTTCGTCTCTTCATTATTTTCATTGGACGCATAGTTTTTGCTTAAAAAATTAAAGTACTTCAGGCTCAAATTGCTAAAAATCTTATGTGATTGTTGTGTTGAAATCGTTTCTGCTTCGACTAGATGGAAATTGAGGGATACAAAAAACTTTTTTGTACTTAAAAATAATAATTTTTATGCATAGAAGACGTGCATCAAATTTCATAAAGACATCTATAAATAACATCAGAGTTATAATAAATTTTTTTTTTTTTTTAAATTTACCACCCTGTACCTCAATAATTAAGATGTTTAAGATGTACATGTTTATTTTATTCCACACCCCAATGTGTAGAAAAACTTTAATTTGTGAAAAGCATATTCAAGTACGTGTTTTATTTATATTTATTTTAAGTGAACTTCGTGAAAAATTCATTAACAATGGAGAATTGAGATTTGAAGTTTATAATTATCTATGTTTGACCGTATAGAAAAATTAATTTTGTAAGCAGAAATAAATAAATATATAAATAATTATGTATTCAAGTATAAAAATCTGTTTTTCTTGTCATGAATGCAAATATAAGTAAAATTTTTCTAAATTATCACAATGTCTCTCTGTCCTCATATAGTTGTTCCACTATGCGCCGGGGGATTAGCAAAAGTAGTTATTTAACTAATTATTTAAGTTTTTGTAAACATCATTGTTGGTTATAATATTTGATCAGTTTTAGTGATTTACAACGCCACTTATATTTCTACAAAAAAATTATACTCACTTTGAACTGGAACTATGATAAGCAACACGCCAACACCCACGAATCCCGTCACGCCCATTTTGTTGTACAACAAATAGCAGACGACCGCCAGCCGGATCAGCTCGATCCACATGTCGTTGAACAGCATCATGTTGTGCTCGAACACCATGACGTCCTTGGTGATGATGGTGATGACGTTGCCCAAACTGATCTCGTTCATGGCGGTGGGGGTGAGTTTGAGCGCCTTGCGGTACACCAGCGAGCAGAACGAGGTCCTGATACGGATGGCCAGCTGCTGCACGTAGATGAAGTAGTTCTGGAGGTAAAGGGCGTGGCCGAACTTCAGTCCGATCTTTACTCCGGCGTAGAAGATTGCATCTTGGAAGGTTATGGTGGTTTGCTTGGGGTCGAAGTAGGAAACGAATTTTGAGATTGCTTCAGGTTCGTATATACTGTAAATAACGGTAAAGTATAAACGGTCTTGGTTTTAAAATTTCGCTGCTTACTGGTATACGATAAAGTCAAATCCATTATCGGTTAAACGTTTGCCACTTTGAAAATACAAATATTTTAAGAGTCTATTACGCTGTAATGTTCGGGTCGCTCTCAGGGACCGGGTAAAGCGGGTGTGTGGCCGACGGAAATGTATATTATATTTCAGAAATCTGCTTTAAGAAGGCTTAGCCCGATCATGTCGTGTTAAACCACATCCAAAATTCCAAAAACACGTGCTTTGATTAAGGTTTGCAGAGCTTCAGCACTTGCCATAAAATTGAGAGCAATTTGTTACAAACCCATATAAATTATATATCGCTGTAATCACAAAACTTCAGTCTATTTCCGTATTGTAACGGATTTTTAAATTATTATAATTTTTTTAGAAAATTTAGCCCAAATATAAGGAATACTTTGTTGATGTTTGACCATAAAAATCTTAAAAATAAAGAAGTTGTCTAAAAATGTCCTATAATACGGATATGGTATAATCCTTTATCTTTAATTTCCTTTTTCATTTGTGTAAAAATACCTAGCCAGTTTTACATAAAACGTTAAATGCCGAACGAACAAGAACTCTTGCAAGAACTCTTAAGCTTATCTATACCTACCGGACTAAGATATTTTTATTGAAGCAGAAGTTTATTTTTTCCTAAATATTTTTGGCGCCAATAGGGATATTAATTTTTTGTCTATTTTATAAAGATCCTGAAATTATGCCATATTGCTTTCAAATCTTGTAAAAAGTTTGTCTACATTTTTTAAAAGGATTGTCTACATAAACAACGTTACCTACACAATTTTTGACTTTTTTTTAATAAAATGATACATAATATAAATGACGAAAACAATTAATTACCTGCTAACTAGTTTCCAGGAAAGATTTAAGGCTCCCAAGAAAATATACTGCCAGCCGAAACATCGCCACATAACTGGCAGTATTGAAGTTTTTCCTTTGCTCACGTGACCTCTCCATTCTTTTTCGAATTTATCACCGTTTTTCTTAGCTTCACAAGATCTTACTACATCGTACAAGTCGTCCTCTTCCAAATCTTTCTTCCAAGATCTTTTGAATAAACCTCTTGTGTACCTGTGAATATTTTAATATGTAAATTTAAGTAAATAAGTCTAACTTGTATTATATTTTATTATTCAACCTAATAAAACTTTTTAGACTAGTTTAACTACAGTAGCTGGCATAGTTTTACCCTTGTTTATATATTAAATCAAGGGTTTGCAACGCAACCATTATGCTAGCGGAGACATAAGAGGCTATTTCGGTTATAAAAATATACATATTTTTTAAAGGTACACAATTATAATTTTAGAAAATGTTAGAAAGAAGAATAACCAATAATAAATACCATTAATTTTAGTATTGTTTTTCGACCGTACTCTTAGTATAAAAGATAAAATATTAGATTATATCGGTATTTGTATCGGCATTTATTTATTAAAGCCTCTATATTTCGTTAATGGTTACTAATATCATCAGGAGGTATCATAAATATTGCAAATTATAATTATTTATCCTTTGGCTTCCTTATTTTGGCACTTTGTTTACTCACTTGTTTCATCGAGCTACTTGAATCCATTTTTGCTTTTGACCAAATTGGTGTAAGAAGCTGTGTAGCTATAAAATGTTATTTCGGGAGAGTTGAATATCCGGGAAAGTTGAGTTATTGACTGTTATTGCACCCAATAACCACGTAATTACGTTCTCATTAAGGTGTTAACATTTTTTCGACAATTTTATTAACATTTGAAATTGTCACAACATAAAGCGACGCTCAGTTCGGGTTCTTTTTCACTACCCGAAACAGCGTTACATCACACAAATCTCGTACCTGAGTGTTTTATAGTTTCAATAACTGCACTATTAAAAAAAACGTGTGTGCACTATGTGCGCACATTTGAAGTGAGACTTCTTACTTCCGTCTGTCTGTCTGTCCATCTGCCCGTCTGTCCGTCTGGGAACTTGATTCGGGTACCTCTCTCTATCCACGTGCTGAGTTTGATTCCAATCGACCCATAATTAAGAAAAATCCTCACCATTTCGTCCATTTAGAGACATCGGTTTGAAACGCCGAGGGCGTCATCCTTTAGCCCGACCCCAACTATGCCGAAATCGACCCACATTTTCCTTCAATATCAAATGCTTAGTCCCACCCCGATGAAGATGTAAACGAAACGTTTTATCCAACTTTGCAGAGTGGGACTCTTGTGCACCGTCGCTTACATAGCCTACCCACCAAATTTGGTCGCGATCGGACGACATCAACTTTTGACGTTTCTTTCGTCAAAACTAACTATCACAGTGACACGTGTCGTACACGGTAAAGTTGGCCTTGGTCCATTCTATCGACATACCAAATTTCATTTAAATCGGACGATTTTGATTCATTAATGATGGGGTTTCGTAGTGCACGAAACGTCAAAATATCATTAAAAGATGGAGCTCTTCGAGCCTCATCTACATTCCGAGTTTCAGCCCCTAGCTCACATAGAGCCAGAGTTACGAAGCTGCAAGATCAGAAAGTCAACGTTACCACTTTTCCTCTCACGTCTCGCGTCTCGCCGTGTCACGTCCTTCAATCTATCATTCGTCATTCAATTCCTATCGCCCGTATAGAAGTTTCACTTCAAAAATAAAATACTTAAATATTATGACAAAGTCGATTTTAATGTTATTACTTCTTATTTCTGCCGCATTGAGCGCTGCGGTCCGAATTTTTAAATCAACTGAAATGTACTAAACTGATAGGTACTTTTCGGAAAATCTGTTAGAGTGGAAGAACTTACTTAATTTATTGTATGAGACTATACAATTCCCAAACCAAGCAATAATAGACGTTTTTTTCTTGTTGCATTATACTGCGACCGTTGAAGAATGACGCGATTTAACATTTAATGCTGCGTTTTAACATTTTAATGAATTTAATACTTTCATTTCTTAATACATTGATATGTTCAGAATTGGACTATTATGTACTGTTATCTGTTATTAGCCAGAAATAAATAACATTGTTAACACAACAGTCACCAGTCGATACACCATTCCAACTCACTTAACTAAACCTTGATCACTACCAGCATAAATAAAATGACGATATACTCACGTAAAAGTTAGCTTAGAAGCCACATTCGCTCTTTCTCTTGCGTTTTGCTTACGCTTGACCACCCCCACGTGATCCATGGCGATATGGGTGAAGAACCGACCGATCCAGAACCACCCTAACGATTACATCCACACGAACAGCACCGAATCTCGACAACTAAACGGTTCTTCTCCCAGTTTCGAGTTGATATAATCTCCAGAATCTCGATGATAAGAATCCGCAAAATGTCGTTAGCAAATAAAATTAAATCCCCATAAAGGCGTTTTCGAAAAATTCGACTACGTACAAGATGAAAATAAATAGACAGCTAACAATGGGGAAGATAAATTCGTGTACGAAGGACTTAACTTCGTCATTGTTAACTATATTTTTATTGCTCTCATTGTTGCTTGTTGATTTATGTCGGTCGATGCCGAAGTGAATTGGCACGTAAAGGATAGAGAAGTTTTATTTTACTTTAAATTCAAGAAATGAATGCAGCAATGACATTCCTGACCTTTTTTTGTCTATCAAAATCTATCAAATTTAATTTCACGCCATGGACATGCTTCTCATTGTCATTTATGTATTTGTCACAGACGTATCGAATAACTCGGCATTTTGTAATATAATTTTTTTGGCAAGGCATTGCTAATATAAACATCAGTGGTAAAATATGTCTTTTTGCGGGCGACACTAGCTTCACTTGGAGCAACATGGACGTCACGGCACTTCATAGGATTATATCAAATGACTTAATCACCATTAAATCTTGGTGCGATTCGAACCTTCTGAGTCTCAACATTTCTCAACATTTCTGCAGCCTTTTGTACTTAACAACACCACCATTGACGTCGTAAAATCTGTAAAATTCTTAGGACTTGTTGTAGACAATTGTCTAAATTGGACATGCATATCGACACTTTGTCGAAAAAATTAAGCTCTGCCTGTTTTGCATTAAGATCTGTTTCTAAGGAGCTTAACTTGTCAGTGGCTAGAACTGTTTATTGTGCACTTTTTGAGTCGCACCTCAGGTATGCCCTTGCATTCTGGGGTACGTATTGTGCGACTCAATTTGACCGTATTTTCAAGCTCCAGAAGAGAGCTGTTCGATATTCACTGGGACTAAACAGCAGAACTCATAACCAGGACTTAAAAAAAAATGATAATATTAACTCTTCCTTCCTTATTTACATTTGAATCCGTTTGCCTAATACGTAAGCATGTATCAGCTTCTCAAGAAAGGCCATCTCACACTTATCCACTCAGGAAAGCAGAGCAAGATCTTTATCTACCTACCCCACGCTCAGAGTTAGTTAAAAGTTCAATATAATACAACTCGAAAAAAATTCACAATCACCTGCCATTTGAAATCAAATCCATAACATCATTTTCTTCATTTCGCAAAGAATTGAAATCTTATTTACTAGACAAGGCTTTCAACGCCGGCCGTAAAGAGTTATATTTTGATAATCGAATTTGATCTTGTAAACACTGGTCTAATATTTGCTATTACTATATTTACTGTAAACTTACTAAATATTTTTGAATCCTATTTTTATTTTTTTATTCTTTGACATTGTAAACATTAATAAATGTTTATTTTAAACAATAAGACTGACAATGTAATTTGTATACTTGTTTTGTATTCTCTTTTGTTTGTTTGCTTGATTTGTTACTTTGTTAATTTGTTTGCATTTTATGTACTTTACCTTTGCCTACAAATTGTAAATTTTTTTGACAATAAAGGCATTTATTTATTTATAAAACGCCGGCGTTTTTAACAATAGAAGGATATTTTGCACAGAGCCTATCTGGTTTCAGTCGCTTTGCGCAATGCCTAATGAAGACTAGTCAGATTGCACAAAACATTTTACGCAGGATTAGTAAAACTAACCTAAACGTATTCAACGACATTTGATGAATTTTAAATTAGAAAATAATGGCACAAAAAGTAATAATTCTGATAAATGGAGTATGGTTAAGAACGATTATTATAAAGATCTAAATTAATTTTATTCTAAAAGAATAAATTCCAAAAAAAGGAAGCAACACACACCGCAAAGAGGCTGCCCTGTACCCTGTACACAGAATCAAATTACAGAGTATAATAATTAAACGAGATATTAATATTAAGGTTTTAATATATTTTGTATTTAAAATTTTGTTACTTACAATTATAATTTATGAAATAGGGTTCAAGTTGTTTTCGTCTAAACAAAATAAAATTTTGACATAAATTATTGTTTTTGTAGAATAGGAAAATGTGTAGTATTTTTATTAAAGCATAAATTATTATACAGGGTGGCCCATCGAAAACGTTCCGCAAGGCATAACGGCCATGGTAATTTTTTTTCAGAAAATTCAAAAACACGTCTATTTTGTTTGTGAGGGGGACAACTTTTGCTCCAAAAATGATTGCAAAATCCTCAACCCTCTAAGCGGAGGTGTCATCCCCCAATTTTTTTCAAATGGGAAGGGGGGTCAAGTGGTACCGCAATGAAAAGGGCTTTCTATTCTCTATACTTTCCCGCTTCGTTTTTGAAAATTGGTCGAGTCATTGAGAACATATGAAGGATTGAAATTTGAAAAGTTTATTCAAACATTTATCAGAGTAAATGATAAGGATAAATTCCTTCGACCAATTTGCTGTTTTTTCTTATTATTTCTAGATGTTTACTCATTTTTTTACTTGCCACAAGGTTGAACGATCAGGTGCGGTAGTTGCTAGATAGCTGTTCTGTGACTTATGCATTTAAGTTCTTCTCAATATCGTTAAACTTTTTAAAAATTATGTGTACTTACTTGCAGAAAAAGTGGAAATAAACGAACTTTATTTTAAAAATAATGAATGTGGCAATCGGGTTGCGCAGATATTCAATGAACGCCATCTTGACAAACACCTTTATGGCTGAATTGTTCACGAGTTAGTAGCAAAATTTCACGAAACTGGTTCCGTTATGAATAAAAAGAGGCAGAAGGAAAATCCTGTAGTCATGAGAAATCATGAGAAATCCTGTAGTAAATGAAGCTATGGAGGTATTCGTATTAGGCCAAGTTGCCATGGACAGTACGCTGAGTAAAAGAAAATTAGCCAATGAGACCGGCGTGAATCGTACAAGTGTCCAAAGGATATTAAAAAAACACAAGTTCCACCCGTACAAAATTCAGTTGGTACAAGAACTCAAAGAAGACGATTTTGATCGTCGCTTGCAATTTTGTGAATCTATGAGTGAACGAGTGGCGAATGATAATAATTTCCTATTTAATTTGTGTTTTTCGGATGAGTGTATTTTCTTTTTGAACGGTGTAGTTAATCGGTACAACTGTCGGTACTGGGCTGAGGACAACCCCAGAGTTTTTCACGAGGTGCACACACAAACCCTTCAGAAATTGAACGTGTGGGCTGGTACTTTTGGAAATTCTATTGTAGGTCAGAATAACAATAATTGAGAAGAACTTCAACGCATAAGTCACAGAACAGCTATCTAGCAAATACCGCACCTGATCGTTCAACCTTGTGGCAAGTAAAGAAATGCGTTAACATCTAGAAATAATAAAAAAAAAAACTCAAATTGGTCGAAATAATTTATCCTTATCATTTACTCTGATAAATGTTTAAATAAACTTTTCAAATTTCAGTCCTTCATATTTTCTCAATGACTCGACCGATTTTCAAAAACGAAACGGGGAAATATAGAGAATAGAAATTTTTTTTCACTGCGGCACCACTTGACCCCCTTACCATTTGAAAAAAGTTGGGGGATGGCACCCCCGCTTAGAGGGTTGAATATTTTGCAATAATTTTTGGGGCAAAAGTTGTCCCCCTCACAAACAAAATTGACGTGTTTTTGGATTTTTTGAAAAAAAAAAATACCCTGGCCGTTATGCCTTGCGTAACGTTTTCGATGGGCCATCAATTTTGACCATTTTTGAATCTTCCTGGCCTGGATTTGGCATTTTGTAAAACGACTGAAAACATGCAGGCAATCTTTTTGCAGAAGTGTACAGAAAATATCGTTATTGTTTAATAAGCCTAATAATTCTGATTAGGCTTTTTGCAAAGTGACTGAAAATAGATAGGCTTTTTGTAAAAATTCCTTCTTTTGTTTAAAAAGCTGGCGTTTTATAATATGCCCAGTGTTTTTGCAAAAAGCCGGATTATTGTATGCGCCTGCGACATATTTACTCCTGAAATCTGGTACTAATATATAAAATCCTTAAGTGACTGACATACTAGGTCTGTTCGTTTTCCTGTTATTATCGATTCTGAATCGTCCTAGAACTCTCCAACGCATGCGCAAATGAAATAATGTCTTCATATTTCCTTCTGCGCATACGCATCACAATTCTAGGAGGGTTCAGAATCGGTAATAACAGGAAAACGAAAAAAGCTACTGATTAATCACGATCCTGTTCAAACCACTCAACGTAACAAGCTCAATTTTGGCATACAGGTTGATTCTAGGGTTTAGAGGTTCGATAAGAAGGGATTTTTCCAAATTCCAGTTCCAAGAGGGAGAACACCCCTCAAATATAACAATATTTTTTATTTAAAAAACGGCCAAGTTTCCGAAAAAACGCTTAAACACGTATATTTTATTTTGTTTTTTTACATATTTTAAGATTTTTTAAAAATGTATACAGGGTGTTTCGAAAAATATGGTCATTGATTAATCACGATCCTGCTTAGAGCGCTTGACGTAAAAAGCTGATTTTTGGAAAACAGATTGACTTTAGGGTGTAGAGGTTCCGTAAGAAGGGATTTTTCGAAACTCGATTTCTAAGGGGTTGAAACTATCCCTCAAATATTAAAATATTTTTTATTTAAAAACCGGTGAGTTTTTCAGAAAAACTCTTAAACACGTATATTTTATTTTGTTGTTTTACAAGATTTTTTATAAATTTATACAGGGAGTTTCATAAAATATGACCATTGAGTAATCACGATTCTGCTTAAACTGCTTGACGTTTAAAGCTGATTTTTGGCAAATGGATGGACTGCGGGGTGTAGAGGTTCGATAAGGAGGGGTTTCTCGAATCTCAAATTCCAAGAGGGTGAAAACGCCCCTCAAATATTACAATATTTGTTATTTTTAAAACGGTTAGTCTTTCGGGAAAACGCTTGGACAAGCATAATTTATTTGTTTTTTTTACATATTTTGAATTATTTTAAAAAATCATACAGGGTGTTCCAAA